GGGATTTGTATGTCGCGCGCGCAACCGCAAAGCTAGGACCCTTAGACAGGACTGACAACCGCATCGCTGGATAATTTGACGTCGGTCGCGTCGATGACCATCGCGTTTTCAAATTGTTCATGTTCAGTTGAGAGTCGTTCGTTAGTCAGTCGAGCAAATTAGTTTATTTGGGTCGTGTCAGGCTTGTGAAATACACTGTCGGCTGACTGCCGTTATTGTGTCGATTGTTCTATGACATGAAATTCCAATAATAATAATAATAACGCCAAGACACCGTTACTAGATTTGTAAGTACATCAGCGATTTAGAAGTGACTTAATTCACCTCTATTATGGCGTATTCTCTCTTTTAACAACAATTCAAGAGCTCTATGCAGCATTTGATCAGCTCTACGTGACTGGAGTTGCTTTCACTGCGTTTGGAATCACCGCTGAATCCCTGCATCTTTTCGAGAGGACTTCGGCTTCGCCCGCTTGATGCGGAGCGTTTCCAATTTTCTTGTTTGAAGAAAAGTATCCTCCCGACAGAGGTCAATCAGTTTAACGCGTACGCTTTTTGCGACCAATGTTATCCATGAAACACGCAAAACACTATGAACTACGCCGTACACTATGCGCTACACTGCTGCGCTCCATTGAAAACGAATTTCTTCCGAGCTGCCTGTCGCTATTAGTTTGCTGTCCTTTCCACCGCACTGCCGATGAGCACGGTTGGTTACGTCGGGTGGCGAAAAAAGTTCAACACGAACGCACGTACGTGCGTGCGTGCGTACAGCGAAACACCGAAGGCAAAGATATCCCCCGTGTAGCCTCCTATTGCCCACTCTCCTACTCCAGCTGCCCAGTGCCATAGCGAAGGTCGACCCCCTACTCTCGCTGCCCAGTGCCATAGCAATGGTCGACCTCCTACTCTCGCTGCCCAGTGCCATAGCGAAGGTCGACCTCCTACGCTAGCTGCCCAGTGCCATAGCGAAGGTCGACCTCCTACTCTCGCTGCCCAGTGCCACAGCGAAGGTCGACCCTCCTACTCCAGCTGCCCAGTGCCATAGCGAAGGTCGACCCCCTACTCTCGCTACCCAGTGCCATAGCGAAGGTCGACTCTCCTACTCTCGCTGCCCAGTGCCATAGCGAAGGTCGACCCTCCTACTGCAGCTGCCCAGTGCCATAGCGAAGGTCGACCTCCTACTCTCGCTACCCAGTGCCATAGGGAAGGTCGACTCTCCTACGCTAGCTACCCAGTGCCAGAGCGAAGGTCGACCCTCCTACTCTAGCTGCCCAGTGCCATAGCGAAGGTCGACCCCCTACTCTCGCTGCCCAGTGCCATAGCGAAGGTCGACCCTCCTACTCCAGCTGCCCAGTGCCATAGCGAAAGTCGACCCTCCTACTCCAGCTGCCCAGTGCCATAGCGAAGGTCGACCCCCTACTCTCGCTGCCCAGTGCCATAGCAAAGGTCGACCCTCCTACTCCAGCTGCCCAGTGCCATAGCAAAGGTCGACTGTCCTACTCTCGCTGCCCAGTGCCATAGCGAAGGTCGACCCTCCTACTGCAGCTGCCCAGTGCCATAGCGAAGGTCGACCTCCTACTCTCGCTACCCAGTGCCATAGGGAAGGTCGACTCTCCTACGCTAGCTCCCCAGTGCCAGAGCGAAGGTCGACCCTCCTACTCTAGCTGCCCAGTGCCATAGCGAAGGTCGACCCCCTACTCTCGCTGCCCAGTGCCATAGCGAAGGTCGACCCCCTACTCTCGCTACCCAGTGCCATAGCGAAGGTCGACTCTCCTACTCTCGCTGCCCAGTGCCATAGCGAAGGTCGACCCCCTACGCTAGCTGCCCAGTGCCATAGCGAATGTCGACCCTTCTACGCTAACTACCCAGTGCCATAGCGAAGGTCGACCCTCCTACTCCAGCTGCCCAGTGCCATAGCGAAGGTCGACCTTCCTACTCTCGCTACCCAGTGCCATAGGGAAGGTCGACTCTCCTACTCCAGCTGCCCAGTGCCATAGCGAAGGTCGACCCTCCTACTCTCGCTGCCCAGTGCCATAGCGAAGGTCGACTCTCCTACTCTCGCTACCCAGTGCCATAGCGAAGGTCGACTCTCCTACTCTCGCTACCCAGTGCCACAGCGAAGGTCGACTCTCCTACTCCAGCTACCCAGTGCCATAGCGAAGGTCGACCCTCTACTCTCGCTGCCCAGTGCCATAGCGAAGGTCGACTCTCCTACTCTCACTGCCCAGTGCCACAGCGAAGGTCGACCCCCTACTCTCGCTACCCAGTGCCATAGCGAAGGTCGACTCTCCTACTCTCGCTACCCAGTGCCACAGCGAAGGTCGACTCTCCTACTCTCGCTACCCAGTGCCAGAGCGAAGGTCGACTCTCCTACTCTCACTGCCCAGTGCCATAGCGAAGGTCGACTCTCCTACTCCAGCTGCCCAGTGCCATAGCGAAGGTCGACTCTCCTACTCTCGCTACCCAGTGCCATAGCGAAGGTCGACTCTCCTACTCTCGCTACCCAGTGCCACAGCGAAGGTCGACTCTCCTACTCTCGCTGCCCGGTGCCATAGCGAAGGTCGACCCTCCTACTCCAGCTACCCAGTGCCAGAGCGAAGGTGGACCCTCCTACTCTCGATACCCAGTGCCATAGCGAAGGTCGACCCCCTACTCTCGCTACCCAGTGCCAGAGTGAAGGTCGACTCTCCTACTCTCGCTACCCAGTGCCAGAGCGAAGGTGGACCCTCCTACTCTCGCTACCCAGTGCCATAGCGAAGGTCGACCCCCTACTCTCGCTACCCAGTGCCAGAGCGAAGGTCGACCCTCCTACTCCAGCTGCCCAGTGCCATAGCGAAAGTCGACCCTCCTACTCCAGCTGCCCAGTGCCATAGCGAAGGTCGACCCCCTACTCTCGCTGCCCAGTGCCATAGCAAAGGTCGACCCTCCTACTCCAGCTGCCCAGTGCCATAGCAAAGGTCGACTGTCCTACTCTCGCTGCCCAGTGCCATAGCGAAGGTCGACCCTCCTACTGCAGCTGCCCAGTGCCATAGCGAAGGTCGACCTCCTACTCTCGCTACCCAGTGCCATAGGGAAGGTCGACTCTCCTACGCTAGCTACCCAGTGCCAGAGCGAAGGTCGACCCTCCTACTCTAGCTGCCCAGTGCCATAGCGAAGGTCGACCCCCTACTCTCGCTGCCCAGTGCCATAGCGAAGGTCGACCCCCTACTCTCGCTGCCCAGTGCCATAGCGAAGGTCGACCCCCTACTCTCGCTACCCAGTGCCATAGCGAAGGTCGACTCTCCTACTCTCGCTGCCCAGTGCCATAGCGAAGGTCGACCCCCTACGCTAGCTGCCCAGTGCCATAGCGAATGTCGACCCTTCTACGCTAACTACCCAGTGCCATAGCGAAGGTCGACTCTCCTACTAAAGCTGCCCGGTGCCATAGCGAAGGTCGACCCTCCTACTCTCGCTACCCAGTGCCATAGGGAAGGTCGACTCTCCTACTCCAGCTACCCAGTGCCATAGCGAAGGTCGACCCCCTACTCTCGCTGCCCAGTGCCATAGCGAAGGTCGACTCTCCTACTCTCACTGCCCAGTGCCACAGCGAAGGTCGACCCCCTACTCTCGCTACCCAGTGCCATAGCGAAGGTCGACTCTCTTACTCTCGCTACCCAGTGCCACAGCGAATGTCGACTCTCCTACTCTCGCTACCCAGTGCCAGAGCGAAGGTCGACTCTCCTACTCTCACTGCCCAGTGCCATAGCGAAGGTCGACTCTCCTACTCCAGCTGCCCAGTGCCATAGCGAAGGTCGACTCCCTACTCTCGCTGCCCAGTGCTATAGCGAAGGTCGACTCCCTACTCTCGCTACCCAGTGCCAGAGCGAAGGTCGACTCTCCTACTCTCGCTACCCAGTGCCATAGCGAAGGTCGACTCTCCTACTCCAGCTGCCCAGTGCCAGAGCGAAGGTCGACCCCCCTACTCTCACTGCCCAGTGCCATAGCGAAGGTCGACTCTCCTACTCTCGCTACCCAGTGCCATAGCGAAGGTCGACTCTCCTACTCTCGCTACCCAGTGCCACAGCGAAGGTCGACTCTCCTACTCTCGCTACCCAGTGCCAGAGTGAAGGTCGACCCCCTATGCTAGCTGCCCAGTGCCATAGCGAAAGTCGACCTTCTACACTAGCTGCCCAGTGCCATAGCGAAGGTCGACCGTCCTACTCTCGCTGCCCAGTGCCATAGCGAAGGTCGACTCTCCTACTCTCGCTGCCCAGTGCCATAGCGAAGGTCGACCCTCTTACTCTCGCTGCCCAGTGCCATAGCGAAGGTCGACCTCCTACTCTCGCTGCCCAGTGCCAGAGCGAAGGTCGACCCCCTATGCTAGCTGCCCAGTGCCATAGCGAAAGTCGACCTTCTACACTAGCTGCCCAGTGCCATAGCGAAGGTCGACTCTCCTACTCTCGCTGCCCAGTGCCATAGCGAAGGTCGACCCTCTTACTCTCGCTGCCCAGTGCCATAGCGAAGGTCGACTGTCCTACTCTCGCTGCCCAGTGCCAGAGCGAAGGTCGACCCCCTATGCTAGCTGCCCAGTGCCATAGCGAAAGTCGACCTTCTACACTAGCTGCCCAGTGCCATAGCGAAGGTCGACTCTCTTACTCTCGCTGCCCAGTGCCATAGCGAAGGTCGACTGTCCTACTCTCGCTGCCCAGTGCCAGAGCGAAGGTCGACCCCCTATGCTAGCTGCCCAGTGCCATAGCGAAAGTCGACCTTCTACACTAGCTGCCCAGTGCCATAGCGAAGGTCGACTCTCCTACTCTCGCTACCCAGTGCCACAGCGAAGGTCGACTCTCCTACTCTCGCTACCCAGTGCCAGAGCGAAGGTGGACCCTCCTACTCCAGCTACCCAATGCCAGAGCGAAGGTGGACTCCCCCCCCTTCCCACCCGTGCCCCCCACACCCCCCTGTACCCCCCAACTCCCTGCGGTTCAACGCCCATGGCGGAGTGCTCCCCGGTGTACCTTCCACGAGCGGTAGTCGCTCTGCGTCACCGAGCGCTCCTTGCCGCCGTCCACACCGCGGGACGCCGCCGGTGCCCCGCCACCACCACCGCTGCCACCACCGCTGCCACCACCGCTGCCACCACCGCTGCCACCACCGCTGCCACCGCCCGACCCCGGCGCGGAGCTCCCCCAGGGCCCCGTGGCGATCGACGGCAGCCCGGCGGCTGCGGTGGCGGCTGCGGCGGGGAGACCCTGGCAGGGGGGCGCCCCGCCCCGGAGGAGCCCCCCGGATTGGGGGGCCTCGGAGTCCCCCAGCTCGGAGTAGCGCGGCGCGGCGAGGGGGATGGCGAGGGGGATGGAGATGTCCGCCTTGTCCAGCTGGGCCCAGAAGCGCGCCAGGCAGCAGGCGCGCGTGATGCACGGCCACGCCATGGGTGGTGGTGGTGGTGGTGCAGGTGGTGGTGGTGGTGCAGGTGGTGCAGGTGGTGGTGGTGGTGGTGGTGCAGGTGGTGGTGGTGGTGGTGGTGCAGGTGATGGTGCAGGTGGTGCAGGTGGTGGTGGTGCAGGTGGTGGTGCAGGTGGTGGAGGTGGTGGTGGAGGTGGTGGTTGCCCTAGCTAAAGGCGGTGTTGGTTGTGGTGGCGGTAAAGGTAGAGGAGGTGGTGGTGGTGGTAAAGGTAGTTGCGGTGGTGGTTGTGGCGATGCAACAGAGCGTTGATTTTACAGCTGCCGCTGATGATGCCGCTGATGATGCTACAGCTGCTGATGATGCTGCTGCTGTTGATGCTGCTGCAGCTGTTGATGCTACTCCTGATGATGATGATGCTGTTGATGCTGCTGATGCTACTCCTGATGATGATGCTGCTGCTACAGATGTTGATGCTGCTGCTGCTACTGCTGTTGATGATGATGCTGCTGCTGATGCTACAGCTGATGCTGCTGCTGATGATGATAATGCTACTGCTGATGATGCTACTCCTGATGCTGCTGCTGCACAACCTCGTCTTCGTAATTTGAACGTTCAAAATGAATCACGAATAGAAACCCCACGGGCAATGAAGAATAACCGCACGGGCGATGAACTGAGACCACCACCACCCAACAACCCTCGCTGCTGTGGGTAGCGAACCCACCGAAGCAAGGGAGAGAGAGAGAGAATAGAGTGTCGAATCGGCGACACGGAGGTTATTACAAATCAGCGTGTGTGTTGTTATCCAGCGCCCAATGTCAACAACAACAACAACAATTGTTTTTGTCCACGACGTTTCACCCGATCGTCTCCAATGATTGGCCGCTCAACCCGAGGCGATCAAAGAAGCAGCGACGGCAGCGGCAGCATCGTAGCACTTGGCGACATAGAGTGTGAGTGTGTGTACTGTGTGTGTGTGTATGTGTGTGTACTGTGTGTGTGTATGTACTGTGTGTGTGTTACTGTGTGTGTTACTGTGTGTGTTACTGTGTGTTACTGTGTGTGTGTATGTGTGTGTTACTGTGTGTACTGTGTGTGTGTTACTGTGTGTGTGTATGTGTGTACTGTGTATGTGTGTGTTACTGTGTGTACTGTGTGTGTACTGTGTGTGTTACTGTGTGTACTGTGTGTGTGTGTTACTGTGTGTTACTGTGTGTACTGTGTGTGTGTACTGTGTGTGTGTATGTGTGTGTACTGTGTGTGTATGTGTGTGTACTGTGTGTGTGTTACTGTGTGTACTGTGTGTACTGTGTGTGTGTTACTGTGTGTTACTGTGTGTACTGTGTGTGTGTATGTATATGTGTGTATGTGTGTGTGTATATGTGTGTGTGCGTATGTGTGTGTGTGTATGTGTGTGTATGTGTGTGTGTATGTGTGTGTTACTGTGTGTGTGTATGTGTGTTGGGGGAGCGCTAGTGCAGTGGTTAGCGCTACGCTGCGCTATGAACCTGGCGACCCGGGTTCGATTCCCGCTCACGGCCAACACCGGTGACGATTATCTGAACCGGTCCCGGGGCCTCCCCTAGGTCTACTCAGCCTCAAATGAGTACCTGGTGCGGTGTGTAAACATCGCCACTAGGGAGACAAAGGCGGTCGGGCGTGGTGCTGGCCACCCACCCCCTAGTGTACCGTTCCGGCTTTCATAGGTGCTCGCTAACAGCACTTGCCCCTACAGTCTGTTAAGGCTATATGGGGGATCTTTGTCTTTTGTGTGTGTTAGTGTGTGTAGTGTAGATGTGTGTATGTGTATGTATGTATGTGTGTATGTGTGTATGTATGTGTGTGTATTATGTGTGTGTATGTGTGTGTGTATGTGTATATGTATTATGTGTGTGTGTTATGTGTGTGTATGTGTGTATGTGTGTGTGTATGTGTGTGTGTTATGTGTGTGTATGTGTGTGTGTATGTGTGTGTGTATGTGTGTGTGTTATGTGTGTGTATGTGTGTGTATTATGTGTGTGTGTATGTGTGTATGTGTGTTATTGGAATTGACAATCTTGAGGAGGGAGCGATGAGACGCGAGGCCCCTGAGACGAACGAGAGCCACAGCCAGCGGTGTGAACACGCAGCAGCTTCCAGACGTCCCATCCAGCTCCACCCTGCCCACTCACCCCCCCCACACACACACATACACCCACACACACACACCCACACTCACAAACACTCACACACACACACCCACACTCACCCACACTCACACACACTCACACACACACTCACACACACTCACACACACTCACCCCCCCACACACATACACACACTCGCACACACCCACACTCACACACACTCACCCCACCACACACATACACACACCCACCCACACTCACACACACTCACACCCACACACACAATCACACACACTCACCCCCCCCACACACATACACACACCCACACACAATCACACAATCACACACCCACACACTCACCCAATCACAAACACTCACACACACACTCACACAGACACACACACACTCACACACACACACACCCAATCACACACACCCACACACAGACACACACACCCACAAACACACCCACACACACCCCCACACACACACTCACATATACGCACCCCCAATCACACACACACACACCCCCACACATCCCCCCCCACACACACACACCCCACACACACCCCCACACACACACACACACACACACACACACAGACACACACACACACACTCACACCCCGAATCACACCCCCCCCCCACACACACACCCCCATATACACCCCCAATCTAACACACTCACATACACACACCCAATCACACACCCCCAATCACACACACACCCCCGAATAACACCCACCCACCCTCACCCACCCACACTCACTCACCCTCACCCACACTCACCCTCACTCACACTCACCCACCCACCCTCACCCACCCACACTCACAAACACTCACTCTCAATCACTCACACTCACTCACCCACCCACCCTCACCCACCCTCACTCACTCACCCTCACCCACACTCACCCTCACTAACCCTCACTAACCCTCACTCACTCACCCTCACCCACACTCACACCCACACTCACCCTCACTAACCCTCACTCACTCACCCTCACCCACCCACACTCACCCTCAATCACTCACACTCACACTCACCCACCCACCCTCACCCACCCTCACTCACTCACCCTCACTCACACTCACCCTCACTAACCCTCACTCACTCACACTCACTCACCCTCACTCACACTCACCGACTCACCCTCACCCTCACTCACTAACACTCACCCACACTCACACTCACCCACACTCATCCTCACTCACACTCACTCACACTCACCCTCACTCACACTCGCTCACACTCACCCTCACTCACCCACCCATCCTCACCCACCCACCCTCACCCACCCTCACCCACCCACACTCACCCACCCTCACCCACCCTCACCCACCCACCCACACTCACCCACCCTCACCCACCCACACTCACCCTTACTCACACTCACTCACCCACCCACCCACACTCACAAACACTCACCCTCACTCACACTCACTCACCCTCACTCACCCACCCACCCTCACCCACCCTCACCCACCCACACTCACTCACCCTCACTCACACTCACCCTCACTCACTCACACTCACTAACACTCACCCACACTCACACTCACCCACACTCACCCTCGCTCACACTCACTCACACTCACCCTCGCTCACACTCACCCACCCTCACCCACCCACCCTCACTCACCCACACTCACTCACACTCACCCTCACTCACACTCACCCTCACTCACCCACCCACCCTCACCCACCCACACTCACCCGCGTGCTGGTGCTAAACGTCGATGTCGCTGTCCGATTCAGCACCTGGTGCAGGCGCCATCCCACAGCCAACACCCACACAGCTACACACAGCCAACACCCACACAGCTACACACAGCCAACACCCACACAGCTACAAACAGCCAACACCCACACAGCTACACACAGCCAACACCCACACAGCCAACACCCGCACAGCTACACACGCACAGCCAACACCCACACACAGCCAACACCCGCACAGCTACGCACGCACAGCTACGCACGCACAGCTACACACGCGCACAGCCAACACCCACACAGCCAACACCCGCACAGCCAACACCCGCACAGCCAACACCCGCACAGCTACGCACGCACAGCTACACACCCACACAGCCAACACCCGCACAGCCAACACCCGCACAGCCAACACCCACACACAGCCAACACCCGCACAGCTACACACGCACAGCTACCCACGCACAGCTACCCACGCACAGCTACACACCCGCACAGCCAACACCCGCACAGCCAACACCCGCACAGCTACGCACGCACAGCCAACACCCGCACAGCTACGCACACACAGCCAACACCCGCACAGCTACGCACGCACAGCCAACACCTGCACAGCCAACACCTGCACAGCCAACACCCGCACAGCCAACACCCGCACAGCTACACACGCGCATACAGCCCAGTCGAGACGGCCTCGTTTTTGTTTGTGTGTGGGTGGGTGGGAGTGTGGATGTGTGGGTGGGTGGGTGTGTGAGTGGGTGTGTGGGTGGGTGGGTGGTAGTGGGGGGGAGGGGCGCGATTAGCTCTGCGGAATTCAGAAGACACCTTCCGGCAGACGTCAGAGGAGATTTTAAAAAAAATTTAAGTAAAAAAAAATCTCATCCGCCAACGTTGCTCCTACCGATGATTTGAAACACAACACGGGTTATGGGCTTACTCCGCTCTAGGTCGGCTCGGCCTTAAAATGTGTAGCCGGTGCAGCGGTGTGCTGCAGTAGTGAACATCGCCACCGGGGAGACAAAGGCGGCCGGGCCTGGAGGCGGCCCCTCACGCACCTCATAGGCGCTGCTGTTCGCTTGCAGCACTTGCCCCAGAAGTGTGGGGAGGCTATAGGTGGAGGATCTTTGCCTTTGTAAGAGACAGACAGGAGTCCAGATAGTGCCCCATCACCACCCATCACCACCCATCACCATCATCACCACCCATCACCACCCATCACTACCCATCACCACCCATCACCACCCATCACTACCCATCACCACCATCACCA